GAGGGTGTTCTCATAACATGAGTATGAAGTTGCCCTGTTGTGTGAATGTTGCCCCTTTCTGGGCTAGGGCTGTGCGTGGTGAAGGACAGGAAAACACTCTGTTACCTGGACATACTCAGTTTCTGCAGGAGAGCAACTTCACATAGCTGTTTGATCCGGCGTGACGTGGGCTGCTCACTGAAGGAGAGGACATCGAGGTGAAGATATAGAGACCTCTGCGGGTACCTTTCCCGCCACAAGGAAAGACTCCTCGGTAGCAGGTCTCTCGTGTATCTGGCAGGGAAAGCAGATTAACAGCCAGAGGGATGAGGAGCTCATTTTCCACGTGTGCAGGTTTGTTTCTGCGGCCAGGTCGTTGTCTGCTGCTGTCCCATTTGCTTAAAAGGTGCCTGGGCACCGCTGCACTGCGGCGCCTGAGGCACTGCCTGAATTTGCTGGAGGGAAGACTTTTGTCTGCCACAGGAATCCTGGGCTGAAAAGTTCAAGAACAGGAGCTTTTAACTTTGACTCCTGGATCTGCATCCAGGTCCATAAATGATGGCCCTGCTCTGCGGAGCACCCCGCAGCTGCTCATCATCTCTGCAAGCACCCGGCGGTCCCTGACGTGTGCAGAATAACGAGCTGGGCAGGGGGTTGTTGTGCTCAGGTGGTTGCAGGCTGCGGGTTCCAACCACAGCCTCTGCTGGAGCGGTGTCTGGCGCAGGCAGGACGAGGAGGTGAAGGGGCTTGGGGCTGAAGGACCTTTGGCTCCCGTTTATGAGGCCTGTAATAAACGGATGCCACCCCATCCATTACCCCTCACCTTAGTTTTATCTGCACGGGACAGAGGTATTTATGGCCTGGCTAGATTGGATGCGTAATCTTGCAGCTGTATTTAAGCTAATGCTCTTTTAGGGCACACTGAGTCATGCTGCGTTTTTTACAGTCAAAGAAACTCTTGCTGACTTGGAAACGGACTTGCTGACTCCTGCTTTCATTTTATGTCTCCTGGGATTTTTTTACAATCTTACAGACTTTAAGGCTAGAAGGTGCCAGGGATATTTTTACAATCTTACAGACTTTAAGGCTAGAAGGTGCCATTTTATCTAAATCTGGTCAGAGCTGTTAATACTCTTCAGCAATGATCCGTGTCCTCCTCATTGCCGCAGGCCACGTGGTGTGATACAGAGATACAGAGATCATCTCCAGTCATGTCACAGACTAACAGTCTATCAGCTCATCTGCTGGCAGGTAGTACCTTGTCTCACATCCTGACATATCCACACATTCCCTATGGACCACTGAATGGTCACCAACAGTGACATAATTCCTAAACCTTTGGACAGAGACCCCCTTTGGGTGTGACACGAGGTGGCTCTGATGTGGCTCACAGAGCGGCGGGGGCTGTGAACCTGCAGGAACCTGGGTGCTGAATTCCTGACCGTGGTGGAAAAAATTCTGAGCAAAAGTTGTAGGTAGGAGAAATCATACTAGAAGTAATCTTTGATGTGAGCATATAAAGTAAGAGAAATTGAATGCAAACTTTTTCACTAGCTCCAGGTTTTCCTGGGCAGCAGGAAGTGTCTATTATTTCTGATGGATAAGGTTTCAAATACATTTTTTTAGATTAAAAACGTTTTAAAGAGAGAGGCAGCTTTGGGCTCCGTCCCAAGTCGGTTGCTCGGGGTAAGCTGAAGCAGCAGCATGTCCCTTGCTCTGCAGCCAGGCGGATCGCATCTCACTGGGCTCCCCCTTTGCGTAGTTGTTTAAAATCTCTGCAGAAACTACGGCCAAGGATAAGGAAGTATCTATTTATTCAAGAAGTTACGTAATCTTGGAAAACATTAAGGCTGGGCCTGTTCCGCCTGAGGAAGAGAAGGTTGAGGGGGGACCTATCAGTGTAGGGGGAATGTGATCACTGCCTATATAGACCTCAAGGGCGGCAGTGAGGAGGATGGGGCGGCCTTTTTCCTGTGGTGGCCACTGATAGAGGAAACGGCCACAAACTGAAGCTCCAAAAGTTCCCCAGGAACTTAAGGGAAATGTCTTGGCAGTGACGGTGCCAGAGCCCTGGCACAGGCTGCCCAGAGTCTCCTTCTCTGGGGATCTTCAAACCCGCCTGGCCGCAGCCTGTGCCCCGTGCTCTGGGTGACCCTGCGTGTGCAGGGGGTTGGACTGGGGGATCTCTAGAGATCCTGTCCAACCTTAAGGGTTCTGTGGTTCTGTGCTTGGCCGCATGGCAGTTCTGCTGTCCCTGCTGCCCCTCGTGCTGTCCCTCTCTCTGCTGGTCACCTGAAGGCAGCTTCCCCCAGCGGCGGAGCGAGCTCGGCGCGGCTCTTGAGCAGGCGCCGGCGCGGTGATTCCTGACTGAGCCCTCTGCAAGCTTCACACGGGAAGAAGGTTGTGCTCCACCATCCCGGCGCCCAAATGAGGCCCGTTAAGCCCCTGTGGTAAAAGCCACTTGGCCTTAGCTGTGCTTAAAGAAAGCACAGTCCCTGGCAGGAATGGGAAGCTTTCAGGTGTCTGCTGAATCCTGGATGTTTTGTGCCATGGGGACATGTTACTACGTTGCCGTTTCCTATCTGTGATGATGTCAGGAAAGATGAGGGCAGGATAAAGCGGCCTGCCAGGCTGCGGGCTCGGGGTAATTGCTGCAGGTGTCTTTGACGTGTCCAAGGAGTGCTGAGGAGGTTCTTCTGTAGATGCCTCCTGGGAGCTGACGGTGATGGAAACTTGTTAGTACTAGCTCCCAATTCATGCTATTGTTGACTCTGAAGGAGTTTTGGTGTCTAACATGCTTCCACAGGAGCCCCTGAGCCTAGCTGTTTTAGAAAGCAATCCTAACGTGCCATTCTTAGGTAGTTTTGGCATCACAGAGTCCATACCTTCTCCCCAGATGAGTCAGTCGGCTTTTACATGGCACCTTCTGTGCTTTGGGAGCTGATGGAGTCTGAATCTCTTCTCCGATCTTGTGTGTGCTGGAGGAGAGGGCAATGTTTCCTCTCTCCAGAAACCTGTCCATCCTCACTCTTTGGGCACAAGGAGAAGAGAGGGTTGCAGGTGGGAGCTATTTTGTTGGAACTGGAATAGTAATGAGAAAGGAAGGGGAATGATTTGTGGCACGGAGGGATGAGCGGGCAGGCTGTGAGAGGTAGGAAGCAGGAGCTTGTACCGTGTTTGTCGCTGCCGAATTTCCCTTGGCACTGAAGTGGCATCTCCCCTTTCCCGAGGAGCCGCTAAGACGCTTGTTGGAGTTTGTTAGCAAGGAAAACCAGCTTGAGGTTGGCCTGTGCATTGGTGGCCTCCTCCTTCTGGCCCTCCTTCTGGGTAGGTGACTCCAGGCCAAGTCAGCCGGGTTTTGTTCCCTGACCTGCGCTTTGCGTTGGCTCAGTTTGCAGTAATCCCTTTGCCTGGGTTGTCAAAGAAGGCTTAGAAAGACCTGGCCTTAGCAGTTGTCCCACTGGTGACTACGAGTTAATTTGGGAATACTCAGGCTGAAAACACTTGTGTTTTGGGGGTGGTGGTTGGCTTGTGCTGGAGCACTTCAGTTGCGTTGTTTTGAGTTCCTGTTTCTCCAAAACTTGTTCCTTGGATCCGGCCTGTCCTTTATGTGGATAAGAGCCACCCACAACCATCCCCAACCATCTTCAGCCTACGGCAGCTTCCACGTCTTCCACGAGCTTCCAGCAACAGCTCCCCGGAGCCAACCTGTTGTGGCAGATGTGTGCAAATGCCCACGGGCACTGTCTGCGAAGCCCGCACACACGCAAGTCCCAGGTCGTGTTTTGCAAGTTCTGCGGTGCCCATCTCAGTGTCTCGCCTAATCCCAGCACCCTCCTGTGGGTTTGGAGTGGTCCCGGTGCCTGCGCTGCGGCCTCTTGCACTTGCAGGAGGATGGCGTGGTGGGACGTGGCCCCTGCTGTGTTCCGAGCCCCGATGCCGGCCGAAAGCACCGTAACCTCGAGCACGGTGTGGGTGGCGCTGGGAGGCTGCCTGCTGCTGCTGCAGAGTGCAGAGGTGTCACGCGGTGTCCCGGGGACCCTGTGCAGGCGGTGACGTGGCCTGGCAGTTGGACATGGACACCTGGATCCTCCTCCAGAACTGCAGTTCTTCTGTCGAGCGAAACGCAATCTTCGCTAGTCTCCTGGATGCCATTTTAAGTGGAGGGAGCTCCTGGTGTTTACTGAGCTGCTTTAGGGTTGTGTTCCCTGCTGCCCACCTCTGCTGACCTACATTTTAGGAGAAAAGTCCTGAAGTGAGGATTGATGCCTTTGGTTCCGTTGTGTCTTGCTGAAGGTGGATGTGGTTGCTGTGGGGAAGCTGCCGCGGTGGGCTGAGGTGTGAGCGGTGAAGGCCTCGTGCCTCGCTCTTGCTTGGAGCGCTGGCGGATCCCTGCTGGGCCCAGGGGAGCCTGCCGGGCTCCGTGTGCTTTCCAGGGGCTCCACCCTGCCCTGGCAACACCAGAGCCCTCCAGCAGAAGGGGGTTCCAGGCAGGAGAACACGCTGCTCCGAGCTCACTGCTTCCTTGGCTGCTTTTGCATCTCCGTCTGTCGTTTTGGGGTGGCTGAGCACAAAGCTTGGCCGCAGGGCAGCCCGTTTGCCCCTCGGCCTGCCCATCTCTCTGTAACTTCCTCCCCTGGATGCAGCTTTTGCAGCATTTCTGGGTCTGTCCTCTGATTTTGTCAGTCTTGCAGTCAGTCACAAGTTGTTTCTTGCTCCACAGGTTTGGTTTTTCCTTTGCCGCCTTCCACTTCAGTGGGCCTGATGGTAAAGAGATTACCTGGCACGATGCTCTGCTTCATAAAGTTCAGGGCATTGTCCTGTAAAGAACAGCCTGTCCTCAGCTCATTTTTTTTTTCTTGTTCAAAGATTTTGAGATTTCCGGAGGAGTCTGCGTAAACTGGCAGATTAGGAGTGACCTTCCCCTTGCGGGGACGCAGATCAAGCAGGGTCTCCAACAGCCGGTGACCAGGCGAGTTTGTTATGAAAATAAACTCTGCGAAAGGGACGTGATCGGAACCATGTTAAGAGGAAGAGCTCCAGCTCCTCCTGCAGCAGCAGGGATCACGCAGAGGGAATACAGCCAGGTCTACCTGGGTCTACAGCCAGGTCTACCAGCACAAAAGGCAGGAGGTAAAACGCTGGGAAAACAAAGCCAGCAAAATGAGTGTGGTTTGCAGGGTTCCCTTGGGATTTTTGGAAGACCCCCAGTCCCTCCAGGAGCTGTCCCAGGCACAGAAGAAGGGCACGTCCCGTCCCACCGAGCACACAGCCAGCCTGGAGGTGATGGCAGAGGCTCCAGCACCCCTGCACGGAGGCTCTCCGGAATCTAGCAGTCCTACAGCCTACTTTTTAGGATATCTCTATATATTCTTCCATTTGGGTTGTGCAGCAGTGCTTTGGAAGAGCTCATCTCCACACGTTGCTAAGTTCACTCTGTCTCCTGCTGCCGTGTGCGTTGAGTGCACATCGGGCCTCTTCTGCATGTCACACACTGCCCAAACACCGGCCCCCTGCGAAGCCCAACGCAGCAGCGTGTTGCCGCTGCCCCGCTCTTCTCCTGCCCTTCGTTCTGCCCTCTGAGCCCTGCACCGCGTGGCATCTCCGCTCAGGCGGCATCTTCCTTGGAAAAGCCTCTGTGTGGCCGCGTGCTCGCAGGCACAGGGAGGGAAACGTGTCCCCTGCCACACGCTGGGCACCTTTCTGCCTCACCCACTGCCCCGTGTCCAGTCGCCAGCTTCTCCCGTCACCGGGAGAATCCAGGAAGTACCAATAAATGCTGAGCCACAGCCAGTCCTCCCCATTGCACCGGGGCCCGTCTCCCGAGCCAGGCCCTTGTCTGTCTTGCTTCTTATCTGACCTCCTTGGACTTCAGGGAGAGGCTTCTGGTTGGGACCTGGGGCTGGTGGTGCAGCCGAGTCCCGCCTTTCTGGTAGGACCTTGCAAATGATAATTAACATAGCCCTATGTATAAAGCTGATATTAATGTTTAGGGTTAATGCAGCCCTGGGAGCTCCTTCCTGGGGGCTGCACAAGGGAAAAGCAGAGGGGTGCGGGAGCAGGGGTGGCGGGAGAGCCCGGCCATGCACCGGGTCCCACTCTGCCCTCTGAGCCCCAGCCTGGGCTTGATGGAGCTCGGAAGGGAGGGCTGGCTGAGGGGGACAGCCACGGATATCCGCGGACTCCTCCAGTCCCGTGCTGGATAACAAGCCCGTGTGCTCGGCATCTTCTGAGCGCGCCGGCGCGGTGGGTGCCACCAGGTTTCTTGCTGTATGGACAAGTGGCAGCGTCTGCCCCTCGCCTGTGCCTTTGGAGCGGTGCTGCAGCCACGACTGCGATCCTGGAGCTGCGGCAGCTCCGTGCGTTTGGAAAGGAAGCTGTTAAAAGTTGCAAAGTTGCCAGGAAATGGAATAAAGTGGAAGCAGCCCTTAAAGCTCCCGATGAGCAGCTGGGGCTGCCGAGCGCCGCCGCGGAGGGAGGCAGGGAGCAGAGCAGGGAACAGAGCGGCGGTGTCTGCGGCTGCCGCCCGCTCCCGAGGCAGCTCCCAGGACACCCGGCTCGCAGCACTGCGGCCGCCGCGCCTGCCGGCCACGCTGCTGTAAGTAGAGCCCAGGCCACTTTTGACTGCCCCGTTCTCCCATCCGCGATGCTCTGTACGTGGCATTCCCGCGGGTTGTGCAAGACCCAGATGTGCGAGCGAGAAAGCTTCGCTTTTCAGACGTGCTGCTTTTCACCTTTCGTTCTTGCGCTTCTCTCCGGAGCTTTCCAGTTCTCTTACCCCCGGGTGTTTTGTGGTTCTTGTTCAGGAGAAGCCAGGGATGCCCGGATCCCATCCTTGCTAGCAAAGCCCTTGGTGGAGAGACTCTGGCTACGTCTCGGGCAGTGGTCGGAGGCTGCGGCCCAGAGCCAGCCCCAACTCGCGTAGGGGAACGGGAGGGGATCTGTGGGGCCCTGGCTCTGTGGGGCAGGGGCCTCACTTAGGGCTCTTGTTACTCTGTTAAGACTGCGACTTGGGAAGCAGGTTCGCTCCTTTTGAATGCAGCCCTAAGGAAGCTCCGTTCACACAGCAGCTTTGGAGCAAGCGGCTGGTAAAGGAATCCCTGGAGCTTGGCAGCAGATCCGTCCGTAGCCGTGCCCTGCGTTTCTGCCCATGTCTCGCCGGGTGCCTGGAAGGCTCTTCCCCCGGAGAAGTGCAGCCCTGTGCAGGGATCTGGGCTCCTGCCAGGGCAGCCTGGGCACCCGCGTGGAGGGGCCCAGCAGGGCTGTGCGGGGCGGAGGCTGGAAGCTGCTCGCGGGTGGGCGCGTGTCTGCACGCGGTCCTGCCCGCGGCTGCCGCGGCCGCGCTCGGCGGCTGCGTGTCCTCCCCCTTCCGAGACGTGGCAGCGCCGGGACGGCAGGAGGAAGCGCGTCCCGAGGCCGGAGCGGAGCCGGCCGCCCGCGTTCCCGGGATCTTCCCCCTGCGGGGCAGCAGGAGCCCGAATCGCTGCGACGCTGCTGCGCCCGGCGCTCGCCCGGGCCCCGCGCCGGCCTCCAGGCAGAGCTGCCCCCGTGCGCCCCGGTCCTCGCTGCCTCCCTTGAGACTTTGCGGGGTTGTGAAGCGGAGCCTGCGGCTCCCGTGACGCGGCGGGCAGCGCGGAGAGGTAGGAAACGAGCCCTGCGGAGCAGCCCCTCCATTGCCGTGCACGCGGTGCCAGGCAGGTCCCCGGGCAGCGCCACAGCCCTGGGGGCAGCGCCGGGCGCTCCCCAGCCCCTGGCCGCGCTCGCAGGCGGGTCCCTGCATGGGCCCCTTGCCCAGTGCGGCGCTGAGCAGCACGGGTGGCAGAAATACCTGCTGCCCCATGCGGCCCTTGTGCAAAGAGACCTTTCCAGAGACTGGGCTATAAAAAGAAGCTCGTGTGGTTTTGTTCTCCAGATATAGAGCGAGGCAGGTTAAGAACAGTGGCCTTTTCTTCCCCATGCGCACAGCTGCCTGCCAGTCAGTCCCAGGTGCTCCCCGAGTCAGCAAAAGCAAAGCCCAGGTTTGTGGGTCTGGAGTGCTGCATATGCCTTAGTCTGCTCTTGCTGCTGCCTTGAGTTTGGCCTCTCGCCCCGAGACACGGGGAGGGCGGGAGCTGCTGTGAGGGAGCCGGGACACTGACTGCACTGAGGTATTTCACTGGAAAACACCTATTCTTGAACAAAAACATATCCACATTACGTACCTTAAGTAACACAAAACAGCCCAAATGCCTTGGTCTGGGTTATTTCCTCCTCTGTTACTTAATTCCTCCTTCCTTCCAAGATTTCACACGTGTCTTTTGAGCTTTATTTCAGCTACAGCTAATGAAGGGGGAGCAGGGGCTGCAGCTGCAGCACAGGGGCTGGAAGGAGCTGTTTGGGCTCGAGCTCCCGGCGAGGCCCCGGCCTTGCTGTGACCGTCACCTGCACCCGGTCGGGGTCACCCTGCGCCCAGACAGTACCGGAGCCGTGCGGGGCTGCTCTGGTTCCTCGCAGCCCCATGGGTGCTGGCAGGTGCCTGCTGGCAGCACCGGCGCCAGCGCTTGCCACGAGCCGGAATTCTTCCGCTTGCGTTCTGCCCCAGCACCTGAGACTTCATTTACTTTGTATCTCTGCCAAATCTTTCACTTCTTGTTGTTGCTCTTTGTAGTTTAATTCCAGAGCCCTTCGAGGCCTCCTCATGTCACGAATGTTCTGCAAGGACCCTCGGTCGTGTCCTGGGCCAGCTGTGGCTCCTGCCATAACATCCTTGTCACAGACTGAGCCAGTTCCACCGTGGCGTGTTGGCCGTTTCAGTTGTTTTTCTCAGATTAAAACAAACGAGCTGCTGTTCCAGTTTTCCCCTTCCCACTTGCGGTCTCAATGTGTTCATACCTTTCTGTTCAAATACTAAGTTGTCCTTCAGTTTCCAAAGCTCTTTCCCCGCCCTTTCCAAACTCTCCCGAGGCCGGTGCCAACGTGGCTTCTCTGCCATGTTAAGGTGGGCAGCCCGCAGCCCTGTTGTGCTCCGGGTGGGAATTCAGTGACCCTCTCCTAGGTTGTACTGGACTAAGAAGAGCAAGAACCACGACCCCATGTAACCACACTGGACGGGGGGTTATTCATGATGCAGGGTGTCCAGACACATCTGGTTTGCAGTAACTAGATTAAGGGTTTAGACCTGCAGCTTTTGGAGCGTTTCTCTTATTGGGCCTAATGTGATTAGAAGGGAGATGTGCCAACGTAAAGCTTGTGGAGATGGGATGGGATCGCCCGGGGCTGGGGCAGACCTTTGCCTGGTAATAGCTCTTGTACCATCTAACACAATTTCGCTGTTAAACATGTTCCCAATAAAATGCGTGACTGTCAATTAGGAGAAATATTATGCTCTGATCCTTTTGTATATGCAATTTAAAACAGGGCTGGAAATATTTTTGCGACGTTTTTCCCTGCATCCAGATAGGAAGTGTTCCTTTCTGCTGGGGGAACATCAGGGAGCTGCAGCAAGGCGGTAACGCAGAGCTCGGGGGGAGGCACCTCCCTTAAATTCGCCCGCTCGCTTGGCTCCTGTCTGTGTCGCCGGAGAGCAGGACACTGCGGGTGCTCCCGCTGCAGGAGCACCCAGACAGCATCCTGCTGCAGTTGTGTTTTCTCTTGTAATTGCAGTCGAGAAACGTCTTCTCTTTTCAAAGTGCTTCCTATATTTTTTTTTTCTCTCTGTTTTTCCAGGGTCCTAGTTTTCCACGTGCTTTTTTGAATATTCCTACAATAAAGGTGTCTCTTGATCACCACATGATGAACAGCTCCATGTCGCCCAGCTCACACCCTCCTGAGCACCACCACTCTACAGCAGTGCCAGGGCATGACCATGGAAGCGGGATGATGATGATGGTAAGTGGAAGTCAACGTTAACCAGAACTTTTCCTTGTCGAGGGTTCAGAGCAACTTGTCATCTTGAAGACAGTTCCCTTCAGAAGGGGAAACCAAACTTGGCCTTGGGAGGCACGTGCTGATCCTGTTCAAACCCAGCACCGTGGCTCTTCCAACGTCAAGGAGAGGACAGGGCAACAAGCAACATGAAATGTGCTCCAGAGTGGGGAGTCTTAGGGTGAAATGATCTTCCCTTGTAAAATCCTTCCTGGCAAGCCAAAAGCAGATATGCAAGGTGAGCATTTCTGGGAGGACTTTAGGAGCCGCTTGCTGTGGTAGCTACTCAGCATTCATTGAATCTACCGAAGGAAAGGAGCTGTAATTTTCCTGTAAGAAAAGGAGGTGGCCGGAGATCTCGGGCACTGTTAGCAAAAGCCCCCTGGGCACTGAGGGGAACGTGCACTGCAGTGGATGGATTGTGCTGACCTGCAGGCAGCAGCCTCCGCGCCTGCCTCCTCCTGGCTCAATTAGGCCGCGCTGGGTCTGGGGAGCGAAGCGCTGCCAGGCGGGTGGCACCTGGGCCCAGCTCTGATTTAAACGAGTTGCGACTTGTGCTCGCTGGCACCACCGAAGCTTTGCAGAGGGGCTGGCCAGCGTTTCCATTTAGCCAGCTGCAGGACCTGGGCTACTGTGCACAGCCAGCTCTAGGAATGACCTTTTAAGTCTTTTCTCCCTTTTCTAAATCCTTTGGAATGAGTTTTGGATTATTAAAACATAACTCTTTATGTTTAAACTTTGAAGGGAGGGGAGGGAATGTGTGTTACAATTTAAAATGAGGATGTACTCAGGAGTATTTTTTGCAAAACTTCAAGTTTGTCTGCCAGGCATGTGCCTGAGAAAGAAAAAGAAAGGAAAAAGAAAAGAAGAGGAAAGGAAAGAGAAGAAAAAGAAAAAGAAAAAGAAAAAGAAAAAGAAAAAGAAAAAGAAAAAGAAAAAGAAAAAGAAAAAGAAAAAGAAAAAGAAAAAAAGAAAAAGAGGAGAAAATAAAGCAAAATGTAATGCCAGCAGTATGAAGGTAGGAGAGGAGAGGATTAGAGCACCCATCCCTTTTGTGAACACAGCCGGCATTACCCAGTGGTGCTGCTGGAACTTGCAGCCACTTTTTCCCTTGCAGAGCCTCCAAAACAGTTTCAGGAGCTCCTCACGAAGGTCTTCAGATAGTCTCACTGTTGAGTGTTGATGGTGTCTGGTCCGTTCCTTTTCATATAAATGCTCTGTCTTTACAAATGCCAAGTGCCTTCTTATGGATGGTGAAATTAGTCATAAGTCTGATCTTCAGAAAAAAATAATAAAACAAAAGCCATAACTAAAACAAACAGAGAAGATCAAACAGAAGTTCCTCTAGCTCACTGAGTGCTTTGCATGTAAAGACCTTGCAAATGCCTGTGCTTACAACACTTACTAAACAACGGCCACGTGTTTAGCTGGATGGGAAGGTGATATGGAGTCCTGCTTGCCTGAGATCCTGCCTGTCTCCCCTCGCCAGGCATTCACTGTGCCGGTCCCCTAGGGGAAACTCTGGTCCTGCAGCAGGTCTTTATGGTACTGGGCTCTTCTTTTCCCATAGAAAATCGGGAAATTCTGTAAGGAGACAGTAGTCTGCTGGCACGGGGCAGGAGAGAGACAGGGGATTCAGCTCCACCAGCCCATGTCTGGATGAGCTCACATGAGGTCGGGGGGGAAAGGCGCCAGCACCCCAGCCCATGAGTAGCCGCAGGGTGACAGGGATGGGATCCGCAGGGACATCCCTGGCTGCTTCTGGTGCTGGGAGGCGAGGAGGAGGCACCTCTCCATAGCAGGTACTTGCTTTGAAGGAAAGTGCCTGCTGCCCAGGGCTGCTGCCTGAAAGAGCTGCCCACTCGTTCTGGCAAAGGGAGCATCCTTGGCCATGCCTGCCTGGCATCTGGTGCAGTAGGTTTCCTGAAGAGTTTCTCTGTGGTGAGCAGATGGAACAACTGTACTTCAAATTCTTGTTCTAACCCAACAGCCTTTCTGCGAAGGAGCTGTTGAGGCTCGTCTTGATGTGCTTTGTCTTGGCAGGCGATGACTTTCCACTTCAGCTACGAGAACGTGCCGCTGCTGTTCTCCGGGCTTACGATCAATTCTCCTGGAGGTTGGTATAACTACCTCGTCCAATCCAAATAAAAAGGTTGCAGTGGTTGAACATTGCTGCAATTACCCTGCTCTGGAAGTTTATTTATGGCCTATAAAAAGAGAGATAAAAAATACCTAGAAACAATATGTTTCTGTTCTTACACTGTGGTTTACCTGTTTTTCCTGTGGAGTGAAAGAAAAGGGAAGGTGTTCCTTTAGTCCCAGAGTTTGGCTGGTCATATTAGCAAAAAGAACCATAGGTTTCACTCCATGAACTCTGTATGTAATTCCCATTCACATATGTGTAAGTGTGCATACCGTGCCCAGCTCTGGCCTGTGCAGTGTGACATAGTCCCTTCTGGTACGTTTTGAAGCAGATGTCTCACGTTGCGAAGTTCACAGAATCACAGAGTGGTTGAGGTTGGCAGGGACCCCTAGGGATCATCTAGTCCCACCCCGGGCTCCAGCAGGGACACACAGAGCACGGGGCACCCGGTCGCATCCAGGCAGGATTGGAAGATCTCCAGGGAAGGAGGCTCCACAACCCCCTGGGCAGCCTGTGCCAGGGAAACACCGTTTCAACAACGTTTCCTCTCTTGTCAGAAATGGCTGGTGCTTTTGTGGCCGTCTTCTTCCTAGCCATGTTTTACGAAGGCCTAAAAATTGCCCGAGAGTGTCTGCTCCGTAAATCCCAGGTCAGCATTCGCTACAACTCTATGCCAGTGCCAGGTCCGAATGGCACCATCTTGATGGAGACACATAAAACTGTTGGGTAAGAATTTCCCTTTCTTCTGAGACAAGTTTCTTCAGCAGAAGTGAATGGCAAAAGGTGGCACAGGAAAAAAAAAATCCTTTATGCAGTATTAGTCTCTGCAAAGTTTATTAACTCCAGATATGGGCAGTAGTATCCTAATGTCTGTGCTTGAACCACGTGGCTGTACTTCAGCATGAGAGGGAAGAGAGGGAAAATGGCTGGGGGTTACATGAGCTCACTTTTTCTGGAGAGGTGAAGAGCACGTTGGGCAGTTCCTGCGAGCAGAATTGGGGTGGGGTGTCCAGCAATGCTGAGGAGCCTTCTGTGCGCAGCAAGTTAAGCCTCTGCTTGCAAAACAAGTCGCTCTGCTTATAGAGCAGGGGTAAGATAAACTCGAGGAAATCTTTCTCTCAGCTAAACAGTCTCGTCCTGCCAGTGGGCACCCTATTTCCTTTGTTTCAGTCAGCTTTGCCAGGAAAACCACAGTTTTGAGTGGCAAATGCATGCAAAGGCTGGGCAGGCACCTCCAGCCTTCTTTATCCCCTCATATTTCATGCCCACCTTGGCCTCCCATCAGCTCGTGGCCTAAGGCTGCTCTGCGTTTCCCTGCCGTGCCTCGTGGTCGCTGACTGCTCTCCGTTGCTGTTCCCAGGCAGCAGATGCTGAGCTTCCCTCACCTCCTGCAGACCGTACTGCACATCATCCAGGTCGTGGTCAGCTACTTCCTCATGCTCATCTTCATGACGTACAACGGCTACCTGTGCATCGCCGTGGCAGCAGGCGCCGGCATGGGCTATTTCTTCTTCAGCTGGAAAAAGGCAGTCGTTGTGGACATCACTGAGCACTGCCATTAATAGTGGGTGCTGCCCAGGAGCCTCTCCACCTCTGCTCTCTTGAAACGCAGCCACTCGAGGACTGGATCATTCCTAAGCTGAAAGAGCAACCACAGAATCAATGCAAGTTGACCACAATTCCTGGCTGGGTCGGAGGGAGGTGAGGAGCTGGGGGTGCTGCTCCTGCCGGCCTGGCAGGGGTCTGGGGGAGCTCTGCAGGATCCCATGGTAGCCGTGCTGGGCTAGGATTTGCTTTATTCTTAGATTACGCCGTGATTGAAATTAGTTGGCTGACAGAAATATAGAGGTTATTCCTTTTTTAAAAACAAAACTTTTTTTTTTTAATTTTTAAACTGTAAACACTTATGACCTGTGAAGGTTTCATGAACAGCAGGTAAAGATGAAAGTTGCCAGGGGAGCCTATGTGTGCAAGTGGCTATTTTATTTTATTTTAAGAAGTGTAAGTAATGCCAGGGTCTCCTGGCGTTGTGGCTTTTGGGGCCAGCGGCGCCTTGTGACTCGGTTCTGAGAACAGAGCTCCCCAGGGGTGGCTGCAGGGCAGAGCTGCTGCTGCTGCTGCTGCGCAGGAGAGGGGCCAGCTCTGCCCTGCCCGGAGCCCTGCGCAGCCCGTGGGCAGCACCGGGCGTCCCTGGCACCGCATTGCTCAGCTTTGGGTGCTAACACTGCAGCGCCGCTGCTTCCCCTGCTCGGCACGGGAACGTGCTGAGCAGGTGCAGGACAACGGCTGCGTGTTCAGAGGGCAAAGAAAATACTGAAAATGACCCCTTGAATCCCCACTGACTTCATGTTGAATCGCACCTGGAAATTCTGGATGGATTTAGAGCTAGACTCTAATAAGTTACTAAAACTCATTCTGTAAAAGACACAAGACCTAAATTGTATTTGCGTGCCACTTAGCAGGTAACATATCTGAAGAGGGCATTCCTTGATTGAGATGAAGGAAATAAAACCATGTGTCGGTGGAGGGAAGCCTGGGGGAAGAGAAGAAAGCAGCCTTGGATTTGATCTTCTCGGGTGGAATTTGAAGCAGCCTGGGTTGATATAAAAAAAAATAATTGTGATCCAAGTGACTGCTCCTTGTCTTAACAATCATGCTGTGACTTGCTACCTTACTGAGACACAGTCAGTGCCGCTGGCAGGAAGGGCCAGGAGCTCCGCAGAAAAACTTCCCGCTCAGGACTACGAGACCTGCAGATTTAACAGGCAAGAAAGGATGGCTCCCAGGATGGGTGTTGCACAGAAACACGGGAGGATTTCTAGGGGAGTTCTGGATTGGCACTTTGTTCCTGAACTGCTCCCAGAGGTAGGGAGGGCAGCGTGGGCCGGGCAGGGCTGGACGCTGCCTTCAGGCACCTCCTGAGGGCACTCACCTTTCTGTAGCCTGCAGGCTCTAAAGGACAAGGCCTGGCCCTTGCCCACAGGTTCTGGTGCTGCTACTGCTTCTGAGCCCGTTCCCAGCCTGCTGCCCCCTCTGAAAGCCAGAGGAAATCTGGGATTGCGGCTGCCAGGCTCTTGTCCTGCTCTGCCGAGGCTCAGCCTTCCGGGAGTGCTGCCGGGCATGGAAACAGGACACCTGCCCCTCGTTTCTGTAGTCAGTCCTCATGTGAATGGAAGCAGCACGGCTGCCGTGATGGAAGGATGCTGGCCGCACCTGACAGAAGAGATAGGAGAAGCTCCTCCTTCCCCGGTCTGGTCTGCAAAGGGAGTATGTCACACTACAGAAAGACACCTGCACAGGTCTGGAAGACACTACAGAGGGCATCTCCAGACGGGAGAGAGGAAGAGGGGCAGCGGGAGGAAGCTCCATGCTTGTTAGAGAAGCCGGCAGCTGTTACCTGCGTGAGCTGCTTGTGCTCTGGAAGCTTCGCACTGCAGAGACCTGTCTGTGAAGGAGCCTGCAGCTGATGAGCGCTCCCACTGGTTTCTCCTGAGCAAACTGGAGTTGTTACCATTATGGCCATGTCTGATTACAGGGCACAGTCACTTGTAGCTTCATGTGCTGACACTAGTAACTGCCTATACCTCTGGACCTGCCAGATCTTCCGGTAAAGTAAAGCCTGGGCTTGGCCTGATCTTCCTGCTGCCATGGGGGCCTTTCAGCCACCTTTGCTTCTGTATTGAAGTGACCCGATTTACACTCGTGTCAGAGAGGGATGACTTGGGGATTATGCAGCGGTGGCTCCTCTGATAGAAACCCAGTTCATGCATTAGCTTCTCTGCCTCATTCTAGATGCAGCACCTAGTGCCTCCAGATTGATAGCACCAGAAGCAGAGCTCTGCGCCTCCCGAGGGTTCCTCCCTGTCCACACGTGCATGGAACAGGGCGCTCAGCTCGCGGGGTGTGGAGAGGGAAGCGACACTCCCTGAGCGTTGGGGCAGGAGGCTCCCAAGTTCCTCGTCTGGACCCTGTGTCCCACAGCAGCCGTCGGGAATGTCGCTCCTCGGAGCGTTGGGCACTCCTGGAGTTGCCCAGTCCCACGGGGTGCAGGCTGGGGAGGAGGCCGCGGGGGAAGGTGTGAGGGTGCCTGAGAACATGGCACTCTTGGAGAATAAGCTCTGTGCAACAGGGCTGGGTCTCCCCATGGTCTCCTGTGCTCCCTGGGCACGTCGTGGAGTGGGGCTGTGTCTTCTGCTTCTGAGGCTGCCGGCGTAGCAAGGTACAACTGAGAAACGCGCGTCCCTAGTCCCTGGCTCCCGTCTGTGACCTGTTGACAATCCAGAGAAGCCTCTGCCCCCCGTGTGTCACCCTCCTTCTGTTGCACTACATGCCACAGGCTGCTGGGCTCCTGGCCTGGGTTGCTCCAGGCTTTGCCAGGCTCCTGGCGACTCGGGATCACTGCTGGTGCTGCAGGCCTGGCCGCGCTGATGCCCGAGTCGAGGCTGGCCTGATATTAATGCCAAACATGCGTTAAGTAGCACTCGGAGGGAGGGCAGCGCTCAAACATTGCTATGCTCAAAGGGTGTAAATGACTACGTGGTTCCCTATGTATCCAGCCTGTGCTGTCCTGTACCCGTGTGCTCTGGCTGTGTCCCTGCGCAGGGCATACAGGGCAGCCCCGTGCTGTGTCCGGTGCCCACCTCCCGAGTGCCTTTCCGTTCACCTGGAGCCAGTCCCAACAGCTCCAGCAGGATCTACAGCTTTGTTTACAGCGGACCATAACTTTTGTTTTCATTTGTGCTCTTTGTGGAAGTAACTTGCCTGATGTTACTGTGAATATCGAGAATCCCCTGTAAATAATTAGCCAATAAAATAGATTGCATTTTACTGCAGCGTATAAGTGTTTCAGAAACAGCGCTCAGAGCAGTGACTGCAGCTGGAGGCCGGCAGCTTGCACTGCAAGGATCAGCGAAGGGCTCCAGCAGCAAGATAAACAACTGGACCCCAAACGTGGGCAGCTGCAGCGGGCTCTCCTGCAGGCCCGGGTCTCCAGCAGGACCCTCCTGCGCCCGTCACAAGGGCGGGTGCCTGCGGGTTCCGTGCGGCCTCCCGGGCCTCCGCGCGCACGTGGCCCCGGGGCCCCTCTGGGCTCTCATGCAGCCCCCGGCTCTGTTCATGCTGGACCGGTGGCCCCCGCCAAGGCCCATGATTCTCCCCCATCTCCTCCAGGGTGTCCTGAGGGTCACCAGGTCTCTGGGACCCATTTCACGCTGGGATCCTCTTGGTTTCCACGTTCCTCCATGTCCCTCTTGGCCAATTCCAGCCCCTTCAGAGCCGGTTCTGGCCGGTTCCAGTCATTTTGGTGCGGTTCTGGCTGGTTCAGGCCGGTTCCAGTGACTTGGGAACCAGATCCGGATGGTCAAAGCTGAGTCAGAGCCGGTTCCACTCACTTCGGAGCCGGTTCCCAGTGCCCCAAGCCGGTTCCAGTTTCCACAAGGCCAGTTCTGCCGGGTCCAGCCCATTCTGGTCACCTCGGAGCCGGTTCCGGCCGGTTCCGACCCGTTCCGGCCACCTCCAACCGCCGGTCTCGATGGCGATTCCCGCCGCTCCAGCCGCGCTCCCGAGCACCTTGGGTCGGTTCTGGCCGGTCCCAGCGCCTCGGAACCGGTTCCGGTTCTGCCAGCCGCACTGGCGCCACCTCGGAGCCGCTTCCGGAGGGGCGGAGCCGCTTCCGGTCGCCGGTTCCGGTCGGGCTTGACTCGCTGCTCCCCGAGCCGCCGCTCGCCCGGACGCCCGTTTTTCGCGGCCTCGGCTCTGCGCGGCTCCTATTGGCTGAACGCCCTATTGGCACCTCCCCCCCTCCTCGCTTATTGGCGGAGAGGGCAGAGCGGCTTTGCCTTCCCATTGGCTGGGAGCCACAGCGGCCGCTGGGGAGGCCTGCGGGGCGCGCGCACGCGCAGAAGACGATGAAGCTGCGCCGGGCAGCGCGGCCCCGCCCCTTGCACGTGGGGGGAGGCCGGGACGCATGCGCAGTGCGCGCGGCTCCGCGTGAGGGAGGGGGGAGGTGTCCGCGCCTCCCCCGCCCCCCTCCAGGGTCACGTGAGTCATGGAAAAGCCTCGGGAACGAAGTGGGATCTGGCGAGGATCGACTGGGAGCGACCCTGCGGGGGGGGCGGGACAGGGACAGTGTCCTGCTGACACTGGGACCCCCCTGTGTTCCAGTGTAACCAGTACAGCCCGTCCCAGTGTCCCCAGTCCCTGGCCAAGGTGTGTGGGGGGAACCCAGGCATCCAGGGCCAGGGGGCATCCAGGATCCTGAGGCAGATGGAATCGGATCCGGATTTGATACTGGAGCTGGAGATGTATTTGAATCCGGGTTTGGAGTTAGCTGGAGTCAGAGCTGGATCCGGAGTTGGAGTCCGAGTAACCTGGGGCCGGATTTGGAGCTGGAAGGAGCGCCCTTTGGGGCAGGAGCAGAACCCAGAGCCCAGCCCGGATCAGGGGCAGGACCAGGAGCAGCTCCCGGAGCAGAGTGTGGGGAAGGAGGAGAGTCCGGAGCGGACTGAGGCCAAGAGCGGATCCCGGAGCAGATCCTGGAGCGGCAGCAGAGCCCGGAGCGGATTGTGGACCAGATCCAAGGCGAGCGTGAGGCCGCGCACGGGAGCGCCCAGAGCGGCCGCCACGGCCAGGCGCGCCTCGCCGTCCCGGCGGAGCCCGAGCGGGCGCGGGGCCCGCAGGCCGCCGGGCGCAGCCCCGGCCCCAGCGCGCGCACCGCGAGCAGCAGCGCGGCGCCGCGGCGTGACGTCACGCCCGTCGGTGACGTCACTCAGGCTGGTGACGCCGTGCCCGCTGAGGACGTCGCGCCGGGTGATGACGTCGCTCCAGCAGCGGCTGTAGACATCGCTCGGCGCCGGGTGATGACGTCGGTGGCAGCGAGGTGGCTCTTGGCGCTGAGGCCGCCTCCGCGCCTTCATCGGTCTGTCTTCCGGTTCCGGTTCCGTTGTCCCTTGTGTCCCCGGGCCCGCGATCCCCCGGTCCCCTCGTCCTGCGTTCCCCCTTCCCCGGGGGCCGCTCCCCGGCCCCGCTCGC